AATCAATGTTCAACCACTGAGCCATGCCAGCCAGGCCTAGCAATTTCTTTATGTTAGTAGCCCTGGGTAGATCACATTGACACCATGTGGATTGTTTTCTTAGAGCATATCAAATGGAGAGTTTTTTTCTATGAATTAAAAATTCAACTTAAATGGTGCCTATAATCTATATATATATACATCCTCCGTGGGGTCCCAGACTGCAAGAGGGCATAGGCCGGGCTGAGGGACCCCCCCAAGTGCACAAATTTTTGTGCACTGGGCCTCTAGTCTATATATATAAAAAGCCAGTGACCGGAATGCCATAACAACCAGAATGTCTGGTTGTTATGATGCTCACTGTGTCCAGCGAACCAACCCTATCAGGGGGTGGGGCTGGCCAGCCAACCTCCCACAGCCCCCCCCAATTGCCCCCCCACCCCAATTGGGGGCAGGGCCCACTGGCCAATCACCTGCAGCCCCTTCCTCCAACCGGCCCGGCACTGATCGGCCCCGATCAGGGTGGGTCCACTGGCCAACCTCCTGCCGTCTCCTCCTCTGGACTGGCCCAGCCCCCATCCTCCAGACCCGACCCATGCACGAATTCATGCACTGGGCCTCTAGTATTTAATAAAATTGTTCTTCGATATGAAATAAGATAATCAAATTTAGGCAGTTTCAGCCTTCACCCAGCGTCCTGATCCCTGTAAGAATTTGAGACGAGCATTAGTCTTTCTGGTTCTGCTTCCTCTTCGGTGGAACCATGGGGACAGATTCTGCTCAGTACCTATGGGGATATTTATGTAATAGATTGTCCTGTGTAGCATGTCACACACCACATAACAAAACCCTCGGCCACAGACACCAGCCTTCTAACGGTGCAAATACCTGGCCTAAGAGGTCAGTCTGGCCACAGACTTCCGATCAGAGGATGAAACGTGTCAATCAGCATCGCCCCAGAGGAAGAGCTGGGCATAAGAGGAAGGAACGGGGAAAGAAATTAGGAAGAATTACTTTACATTCTTGGTGCTGTCACAAATGGAATTATGGAGGAAACTGAAAAGCAAACTGTAAACGTAGCTAGTAGAAAAAAATTCTCAGAGGAAGTAGCCTTCCTGCTCTGAACTGGGGAGTCTTGACACCAAGGGCTTGCCGGGGGCTGTCATTTCATAATCACAAGAGAAAGGGCTAGTTCAGAATGGCTGGCTGGCATCATGAAACAGATGAGAGGTGACGAGGGTGGACTTGAGCTCCAGTTCTCCCACACCTAGGGAGCGTCGGCCACTATCTCAGCGTTCCTGTGCCTGGAGCCTCTTCTTTCTGAGCTTCCATACTCGTAGCCGTTCACTCACTGTCTGTGCATCCCACCGTTGCCCTGTACTGGTCCACCACAGAATCAGAATGGACTCTTCCATAATGTGTTTAACTAACTGCTGAGGACTCTGTCCCTCTGCAACCGCCTGCAACAGGCAGGCTTTCCTTTCACTGTCTTTGCACAGCTCAAATGGTCTCTGTTACTCTCTTGCTTCTGCACAAACCTGCCTCAACCAGAACCCCTTTTCACCGCAGTGGTGGTGTGGGTTATGTGAGACATTTGGACATTGGGCAGGAAGACAGCCACTCATAAAAGGTGGGGGAATAGGAACCACTCTGCAGAAAGCACTGAGTCCATGTTCCGCTATTAGATGATCCTTGGTGTTTCGTGTCCACTCTGAGGGAATTAAACTTGAGGTCACTAAGATCAGTGCTATGAGGCAGCATTTATAGAATATACACACTCTGGGGAGATCCTTAGACATGATTATGTCTCTACACATGATTTATAGAGATTAATATGCCACAGTAAGAAAACATAAAATATGTTAAACCTTAGGCAGAAGGAAAATATGTTAAGGAATCAAATGGACCAAGAGTGACGTTAGTACAAAATGTATCTATGACATCTTATGTATTTTCAAGTGATTACTGCAAATTAGGCTCTGAGCTCTTGAGTAGCCAACATTAAGAGACAGCCATTGTACTGGTTTGACTATTCCAAGTTTGCAATCCTAGACATAGCTATTTAGAGGAATGTACAGTATTTTATTTCATTGAACATTCAGCTATAATTAAGTTTCATGTTCAACTCTGTGTTCCCAGTTTTAGGCATACTGTATCCCTGGTAAAAGAAGAAAAGCTTAAACATCCATTGCATAAAAGAATGATACATATCTTAGGTCAAAACTTTATGATGAAGTAATAATAACCTCTGGATTTCTCCTGGAAATCTTGTAGCAGAATTAAGTGCTGACAGCCACCCTGGAGACCTTTGACTTGCACGGGTCTGTGACCATGACCAATTCAGAATGGTTCCCTCTAGGCCTTTGCAGGCCTTCCTTATTTCTTTACAAAATATGGATGTTTTTGTATTCAGTATTATGCCAATCAATCCAGAATCATTTCAGTGATACTTTATAAGTAACTATTTGGTATTTAAGTCCTCCAAATCTTATTATTCTAATTATACATTTTAATGCATTTTATTACTAGTATGTATTCCAGTACCTACTTGGAAGATCATTATTTTTAAGGTTTATTCTTCATAAGTATAAGATTACTAGGTATAAGGAAAAAGTGAGATACCATTTATAGTATGCGTGTATATATTTATCTCCTAGAGTCATAAATTCACAATCTTGTTCAAATGTAAAATGTGTATGGCAAAGATGTGAGTATCAGCAAGGAAGAGGGGGAAACGGGTCAGAGAAAATGAGAAGGAAAAGAGAACAAAAAAAAAAGAAATGTAGTATTTAAACATTTAGAGTAATATTTTTTTCTGAGTCTTCATCAAAATCACAAAGGAGTTTCTGAACATGAGTATAATTGTATATGCCTCTTTATTTGCAATAATTTTATCTTGGCCTTTTGAATTGAATCACCCATTAAGATCTTATGTTAGTGGCTGAATTTACTAAATTATTTGAAGCAAATCATGTCAGGAGATAGGCATGCCTCCTAAGAAATCTGTTGTGAGCAGAAAAGCGACTTTATTCTAACAAGTCAGGAATCCATTGCTAGATTTCAAAACAATTCTATGTTGCCCTCACACAACTAGCCTGTAAATGTACCGATTTAGTCCTGACACATCCAGTATAAATTTGCGTTTGAAGTCTCACTTGGTTGAGCTTTACAGGTGTCTATGTTGTTCTGACCATGATAGAAGGTGACCG